TCAACTTAAAAAAATGGATTAGAGTTGCCACCGATCATTTAAAAAAATATTTAGGCTGATCAGACACCATCTTACATGTTATGCGTTTTACCAGAAATGTGTCGGATTCGGGAGTCGGTTTAGTCAAGGAAGGATTAGAACCCTTGAACTGACCTTTCGGTACCATTTAGTTTGTCGGTTGTCTTAATTGCGAAAATTCAAATTTAAATTTAAATACTCGATTCAAATCATTTACCTTTGATTAGTTAAAATTGTCCCTAAAAAAGAAAGTAACAAATGTTAGATTAAAAAAATACTAAATAAATTAAAGAGGCTATAACATGGCTCAATCATATAATAACTTGAAAATTTATGAACACCTACATATATATCCACACATCAACATACTGCTCAAAAGAATACTAAAATACAAACTTATATTTATGGCTGTTTGCATGTGGTAGTAGTGGATCCAGGGTTGTTTTGACTTTACATACTTGCACCTTAGGTTCTGGGGCAGCTGCCTCATTGGTAAGCTCAGAAGAACGTTTTTCCATTAGTTCCTCATCTGATTGCAACAGAACTTGTTGTAATCCAAAAGTACCTCGTAAAAGAGCACATTCATTTTCAAGAAACATAGGAGCTTTCATGCAATCCCTTGCTCAAGCATGAAAGCAAAGCCGAACACATGCATCATAGTCAATTACTGCATGCCAAGGTCCAAGAGCACTTGCATGAAATATTGGGATGCGAGCTTCTTATGTTTGGAACGCTTTCGTGGTAAAAACCGAAGTAGGAGGCATTCAGGTTACTGGTGAAGGTGAATGGAAAGAGCTACCTGGTCTAATGATTTGTTTATTAGCACCATGAGTACGGGCATCTTGCTTTTTGGAGAGAGCACAGAGCGAGGAAAACATGTAAATTTTTGAAGAATAAGTGAAGGGAAAAAAATGGAGGTTTGGGAAGTTTTGAGCAAATAAAAATTGCAGAGAGAAGAAAATTTATGGGGATAGTGGACTCCAACTGCAAGTAAAATTATACTACAAACTAGGAACCATCTCCCTTTTTCCCGAGCATTCAGAGACCCCCTAAAGGTTTAGAATTAACGTAAATATATAGGAAACATTGGAAATTGGTTAAAGAAACGTGGATAAGTTGGATGAAAATTGGCCTCCACTTACCCCGGACTTGATGGCTCATTCCTGATATGTTGTTGTACCATCCACACGACCTCGGGTTGCCACACATTCAAAGATACCGAGGCCGGTAAAATAATTGTAATATATAAATTAATAAAATAATAATAATAATAATATAATATTTTTGTAAACCCAAAGAAAAAACGGTGTCTACACCTATATTTAAAATTTAAAAAATTTGAGTTCGAGGTTTTATTTAATTTAAAAATCATATGGATGTCAAATTTGGAAAAAAAAGATATTAATTTATTGAGTCCAATAATATTCACCTTAAAGCATTTAATCGAAAGCTCAATTATTGACCTCAACAAATGAACATTGCCTTAAAGGTTAAGAAATCATGACATGTGATTTTGAAAAAGGATGTCAATTTATTTCGGGAATTACCATGTCACCCTAGAGCATAACGCGGAGGATACACCATTAATTCCTTGATAAATGAACATTGCCTTGTTTTTTAAATCGAAGTGCAATCAGACAACCTGTTAAAGACCTAATTATACTATGTGAGATAATTAAGGCTTTCCTAACTTAAAGTGTCAAATTATGAAAATTAAAGAATCTATCGGACTAAACCTAATAATGAAATCTCTATTATTAATCATAATTTATTTTAATCAATTATTGAATTGAATAATCGATTTAAACAATTGGGCATTTAAATGTGAAATACCAAATCAAATTATTTCCTAAATTAAAGGACTAAGGTGAAGTTAGATCTATAATGGAGGCACTAATTATTAACTTGATCAATTATGTTTAGATAATATCTAATTAGAGATCTAAAAGACTAGATTGCAAAGAATCTAAAGTTAAGGATCTAATTATTAATCTTAATTAATTAACCAATTATGAATCGAACAATCAGTTGGATTGTTCAAACCGATTAAAAAACTATGTGCGAGAAGTATAAGTCTAAGGTTCAAACCTAAAGTTTAAGGCTCTAATTAGTGACCAGATTAAAAAGATTTAAAACTAAAGAATTTGTCCTAGATTTTATAAATTAAAAAAGAAATAAATTTAAATAAAATAAATTAAAAGTATCAACCTAAAAATAAAAAAAACATGCAAAATAATAAAAAATAAAATATACCAATAAAACCTAATAATAAAAATTCAATTAAAATACTAATTAATAAATTTACAAATTATAAAACAAATTTATTAAACCAAATTAATATTAAAGTGAATTAATAAAAAAAACCTAGGGACTAAATTGAAATATAGTAAAACAATTCATCAAAGTGACCAAATTCAAAATAAGAAAAAATTAACGGGAAAAATTCGAAATAAAATCACCTGAAGGAGCAGTGACTAATATGCAAAAACACTGCAAATATTGGAGGATCTAAAAGAAAATAACCCAAAAGATAATATGAAAACATAAAAACTAAAAATAGCAAAATGAGGACATTTAATTTGAAAATAAAAGAAATAAACAAAAATTAAGGACTAAACTGAAATAGAAGAAACATACGCATACGATGACCACGAGAGAGATTATACCCCTGACTCGAAAAACGAGCGCATAAGACTAAAATTGCGTCTTTCGGTCCGGCTATAAATACCCTTTTTTCAATTTATGCTTCTCTCTCTCTCCTCCCTTATAACCCTCTCATCTCTCTAAATTTCCCAGAATCCAATGGAGCACTACCGAGTTGACCGTCGTCTCTGGTGGTCGTTAAAATCCAATGTACACCAGGAAACTCATTTTGACGTCGGAAACGACGATCTAGACTCAGTTTCGTGAGAATCAACCCATAACTCTTCAGAACACACGAAAAACCTCCGACTTTCACTTCACCGATCTCCTCCATCAACCGTCGGATCGAGTCGGTTTTGAGATATGTTTCTCTCGGGGGTATGATTTGCCTTCTCACCTTTCGGATTAAACAAAGGATGTCCCCAACGCCGGTGGGAGGTTTCGGCCGAAATGTAAAGTTCCCTTTCCTCTTTTTTTTTTGTTTGATTCAGATATGCTTTGAGTTGAAAATCCTTGTTGATGGTTGATAATCGAAAATAGAAAAAAGTTTTATTGCTTGCTTTTCGATTACTGTAAAAAACTGGGAAAATCTGTTACGTACTGCTTCGAATTAAAAACGGGAAGAAGACCCCTTACAATCGGTTTTCGTTGGATTTATATAACCACAAATTACAGAAAAAAATCACAAAACAAAATCTAATCCTCATTTCTAAAATCTCTCTTTTTTTCCTTGCCTGGTGACGAGGCATGGAAACGGTTGAGGAAGGGGCCACTGCTCGCTCGGTATCTTCTAGAATGGGCTAGCGTGGAGCATGGACAGCTGGAGGCAGCAGTTGTTTGCTGGAGGGCCCTGCCGGAGAGGAACGTTGATGCTGGAGAAACATTCGGAAGCTGCTCACGTGGAGAAGAGCAAACCCACAGTCAAAACAATTATATTATGTGTTTTATGTTCATTTTTAGGAATAGTTATTAATTACTAGTTATTTTTAAATGACATTTTCCCCCAGAGTTTTTTAAAAATTTTGACATGATTAATTAATTTAATAATTTGGACATGGCTAGTTTAAATAAATTGTTCTGAAATTGATTGTTGGCATGACACTGTTTGTAAGCATGGTTACTTTTTATTGAATGGTTTATTCTATCCTAGGATTTCATGCCATGATTTTAATAAAAGTATGATATCTCATCTCCATCACTTAACCCACTTAACCCTATTCATAATAAATTAAAAAGTAATATACGTTTAATTTAAATTACCGAAGCGATTTATCCTAATTCATTTTGGGTAGTTCAATTTGATCATTTAAAGTTAACGGGTACCCTCCAGTGAAACAAATAAAAAATAATAACTTTTAAATCAATCAGGAGGGTAGAAAGGGAATAATTCTTATATTTGGAATTATCGAAAATGAGTCTCTCGACTTTATTCGGAGGTTTAGTTTTGATACTTATAAATATTCGAACATTATTTGTCTAACATAAAGGCCTAGTAATCTCCTATTAATAAAATTGTTGTTTGTTGCACAACTTTAGGTAAATAAATACAATGATTACAATACTTCTTGTTTCTTTCTAAATATGGGAAAATCACTCTACCTTATATTAGGTGGTGTTTCTTCTTGGTTTGAAACGTTAACATGTCGATTGTTTACTTTCAAATTTTTGAGAAGAAGATCAGTGATTCACCGCTTTGGTTGGAAATGGGAGGGATGTAATTATATCATATTGTAACACCCTAATCTGATCCGACCCGAAGTCTAGATGATTAGTATATCACACATAACCACTTAAGTGGCTAACTATTTTGTAAAGTGTTTGACCAATTTAACATTCAACCTTAATTTAAAATACCCAAAGTATAATATGTTTATAAGTTATAAGCATTTAAAAATATAGGGGGCACCCAACAATAGTCTCCAAAATCCATAAGTACAAAAATAGAGTTTATGACTCAAATATTAATTATCTAGGGTTTATGACAATACATGCCCGCTAAATACTCGAGATGTACTAGGATAGAAGATCAAGTCTGTAAATCCTGAAACTTGGCGATGAACTCCTCATATGACACCTAAGAACCTATGCATAGAAACACATTTCATACATTGAGCTCACAAGCTCAATGCACACAAATAACCCAACTATACTACATGCACCCTACATATGAGCATGCTACAAGTATTGTTATGAACAATTGGATACAATAACACAACAACTATAGTAAGCATCATGGTGTAGCTCGGGATCATTTAACTTCACGAAACTATCACACTTATTTGCTTACTAAAACAACTTAGACTAGAATTGGGTCACATAGCATCAACGTCTCCCTACAATTCCAGTTAAGTCCGAGTCACATAGCATCAGAAACTCACTCGGCTAGTCTACTCTTCTAGAGCGCTTGGGATTTTCCTGGATCACTTAGCATCGGCACAACATCCAACTAGCATTTAAAGTGCACTTGCACTAGATTGGCATATATCCAGATAATCCTTAACTCAACTATATCGACATCGACACAAGTAACTCTGGCGTCGTTAATGTTTCTCGAGCATCAAGCAAGGCATAAGTCTTATGGAATCTTACCTCATTAAGATTTCCCTCATTGAACCCCTTGGTTTCATCTTTCGATTCTAAGATAAGCTTATAGTCTAAACATTCACAATGATATCGACACTCCTCCTTGGGTATCGGTACTCCCCTCTTGTGGTATCGATACTTCCCCGAGTACCGACAGGAAATTTACATTCGATGTTTTGGAAAATATCTTAGTACTCCTTTGAGCACCGATACCAAAATTGTTTTCGATGTTTTTAAAAATACCTCAATATCTATACCCCCTATGGTGAGTATCGATACTCTACCCTCGGTATCAATACACCTATACTTACTGATACCAAAATTGCTTTCGATGTTTTTAATCAAGACCCTGAGTATTTATACCACTTGATAAGTATCGATACTCCTTGATGGAGTATCGATACTCTCCTCACAGCCCTTTTGAAAATTTAACCTTACACGACTGGCAATATTGGTATGTTCTTACAGTATCGATACCCTTTGCCTATAAAACTCTGTTTCACTCGTCTGAAATCCTCCATTTCGTTCCTAAAGTGTCCTCAAGGACCTAAAATAATATTTAAAGCTTATTTAGTGCTTAAGGGACATGAAAGGTCGCTACTTTACACATAAATAACAATAATTCATGTTTCCATGCATTAAACCCCTAAGTGCACAAAAATGACTAATACACTAAAACATGCATCAAAACTACACATGATGATCTACATGCAGTAGAGGGAGGTTAGGAATGTGTTGCCTTGCACATATAGATTGATGTAACAACTCAAGGCTCACCCAAGCACTTCTTTCTCCTTGCCCTTCACATTTGAGCTTTTACCCACCTCTTTTACTAACCACAAGCAAATGAAATGAATACTAACTTGCTTTTCAAAAGAGTAAAAATGTGATTCTAAACTCTTTGGAAAAAATTTGGAACACCCAGAGTCTTATAATGTAACACCCATTTCTTGCATATTTTTCCGTAAACGAGTCACATATGTCACATGACTTTTGAAACATTCTCGATACTTGAAAATCAGTAAAAGTTTTGTTTTCTTTAGATAAAACCATTTAATAATATAGATTATAAGACATTCTTCAATTATACATATATTAAACACATCTACTCTAATTATCAATACTAGTTTATTTTATCCATATTTAAAATCAATATAAGATGATCCAGTTAATCTATTACAAACCAATTTCCAAAATATTTAAATAGAGCTAATAGGACATTCATAAGTAATACCACTAAACTAAGTAAAAAATTTCATCATAGGATGTCTTACTGATATTACATTATATTCCTTGATGCTAGGAGTTGCACAATACTCTTTACTTCTATTCTCGGCTTTTACCTAAGCGTGAAACCAACACACGCTAAGTATTTACTTAGTGAGGCATAGTAATACAAAATAAATTATACTTAAATATAAGCATATCCCAAATTATCAAAATACAAATGAAAATTGTATAATTCATATCAATATAACAAATAGGCTTGGCGAACCAATCTTCAATCAAATAACATGATAACTATCTTTAGTATGCCCAGCATACCTGTCAATCAGTATTTTCTAATTTATCCTTTGTTTGCCCAATATATGTTGAATGAACATGCATGGTATATGAGTTGCACCTAAATGTCGTAATTAATACATAAATATATCATTACTATCAAAATACGAATTTATTTTTTCATAACATTATAAATTCGTTGAGGCACACACGTAGTGCCAATACGGCCGTTCATAAACATATTATGAATTATGTGGGTTGCACACTTAATGTTGATACGGTCGTTCATAAACATATTATGAATTTCGTGGGTTGCACACTTAGTGTCGATACGTTAATTCATAAACATATTATGAATTCACTGGGTTACACACTTAGTGCTGATACGTCGTTCATAAACATATTATGAATTCCCTGTTGCACACTTAGTGTCGATACGGTCGTTCATAAACATATAATGAATTATGTGGGTTACACTTAGTGCTGATACGGTCGTTCATAAACATATTATGAATTCCATGGGTTGCACACTTAGTGCTGATACGGTCGTTCATAAATATATTATGAATTCCGTGGGTTGCACACTTAGTGTCGATACGATCGTTCATAAACATATTATGAATTCTGTGGGTTGAACACTTAGTGTCGATACGATCGTTCATAAACATATTATGAATTATTTGGGTTGCACTCTTATTGCCGATACGGTCGTTAATAAATATTTTATGAATTCCGTGGGTTTCACACTTAGTGCCGATGTATACATAATACTGATATAAAAAGGCAACATATGCATTTAACAACATGCATCTATAACTTTTAATGTACATAATAAATGCACTCACCTAGTATGCCTCACTAGAATGTTGTAATGATGTCCGACTACTCACAACTTTATCCTTGCCATTTTTCTTGCTTGACTCTGGAGCTTGGTTACAATCTACACAAGCATTCATTATTACTCATACCATACAAATGTTAGTATATTATCTAATATTTATACTTTAATAATACTCAATAGTACTATTATATTCAATTTCTATTAAAATTCATCCTATCTACAACATTCCAGACTCAATAATATCGGTACCTCGAATATGATATCGATACTTCTATACTATGGTACCGATACTCCCTTGCATATCCAGTAGTACCTTCCTTTTAGATACCACAGCTCGATCCATTTTATTGTTTGTCCTATTTTCCCAAATTTAAACCTATAGTATTTGTACTATTCTTCCAGTACCGATACCCTTACCCATATTTTCCATTTTCAGCTCGATTTTTACCCAAATTTCGTTTAAATCTCTTACTTTTACCAGCAACAATACCATTAAACTCGTCATTACTTAGACCAACTTTCCTTCATTAATCTTCCTATAACATCCAAATTCTTTAAAGAACATTCCAAACCAATAAACACACTACTTTTTCCAACATGTTTTTAATCACATCCAGGGCTTTTAATCTCATATTTACTTATTTTACAAGTCAAATTTACTTGGAATCCTCAATAAAAACTCATATTTCATCATATCACTCAAAAACCCATTTTCTTCAATTTCAATTCATTCACTAATCACTTAGTTTTAAGGCACTTAGTTTTAATCATCCTTGAACTCTCCTTAAAACTTTATATCACTTAAGGTTTCAAAACCAGTCCATAAACTAAAGGAAAAACCACTTGAAGAAAACTTACCTTTGGCTATGGGGAGAGTATGGGTAACGGAGAAGAAGAAGGAGAAGAATAAAATAACTTAGCCTTTTAACTTTTCCCCTTTCTCTATTAAATCCCTAATAAAAATGAATTTTAAATAAATTTCCCTCTAAAGGACCAAAATGCCTTTTCATTCTTCCATTCTTACTAATTGGTCTTAATCAAATCATTTCTTATACTTTACCATTTATTCAATTTAATCCTCCAAATCTTAAACCATTTCAATAAATCACTGACCTGATATTTGGAGTATTACAATTCTCCCCCATAAGAAAATTCAGCCTCAAATTTAAAGAAGTACCTGATACGAAGAGGTGTGGAAAACTGCTTCCTCATGTCCTCCTCTCTCTCCCAAGTAGCTTCTTATACCTTATGGTTTTGCCAAAGTAATTTAACTAGAGAAATCTTCTTGTTATGTAGTTATTTGCTTTCTCGAGCCAAGATCCGCACTGATTCTTCCTCGTAAGTCAGATCTGGTCAGATCTCTATTTCTTCTGGTGTGATAATATGGGATGGATCTGATCGGTACCTTCTGAGAATCGACACGTGAAAAACATTGTTTGTCCATATCAGGAGGCAAAGCTAATTGATAAGCTACTGGTCCGACCTTTTCAAATCTCATAAGGTCCAATGAATCGGACTCAGCTTTCCTTTGCACCCAAACCGCAATACTTTCTTCCAAGGTAATACATTTAGAAATACTTTATCTCCCACTTGAAATTCAATTTCTTTTCTTTTCAATTCAACATAAGATTTTTTTCGATTAGAGGCTACCTTCAAATTATCTTGGAAAATTTTAACCTTCTCTTCCATTTCTTTCATCAAATCCGGGCCAACTAGGTCTCGATCTTTTAATTCAAACTAATCTAAAGGTGTTATGCACTTTTTCCTATACAAGGCTTCATACGGATCCATCTTAAAACTCAATTGGTAACTATTGTTATAAGAAAATTTTGCTAAAGGCAAGTACTTTCCCATGATCCTTTGAACTAAATCACACATGCCCTTAACATATCCTCCAATACCTAAATAGTTAATTCTGACTGCCCATCTGTTTGTGATGAAAAGCTATGTTGAAATTTAATCGAGTACCCAATGCCTCATGCAAGGACTTCCAGAATCTTAAAATAAACCTTGGGTCTCGATCAGAAACTATTGACATAGGCACTCCAAGCAGTCGAACTATCTCTTATAGGCATAACTCATCATTTATCCATCGAATAACATGTTCGTACCAATATGAAGTAAGTTGTCTTGGTAAATCTATCAAAATCACCCATAATAAGTCTTTCTTGCTAGGTGTCAAAGGTAGCCTTGTAATAAAGCCCACAGTGACTCGTTTCCCCCTTCCATTCATGAATCAAGATTGATTAAAACAATTCAAAAAATACTTGATGTTCAGGTTTTCCTCTATTGGTACGTCGGATACTTTGCCATAATTTTCGTGATGGCTCGTTTCAAAACAAGCCACCAAACCGACTCTTTAAATCTTGGTTCCTCTTGTTTCCACCTGAATGCATAGTCAACAGACTTAATGCCCCAAAAA